AAATACAGAAAAATGTTAGAAATTAAAGCAATATTAAGTATTAACCATGGTAATCTGTGTGCAATGGATTATAAATTATTTTTATTTCCTTTATCCTTTTTTATTTTTCATTTTTGTTCAGAAAAAATTATGTAACTTAAGAATGTTCTAAAAGTTGTATAAATTATTTATTTTTGAGCTGGCCAGCAACTAAAATTAAGAAGATTTGTTTTTTAGTAGTGAGACAAATTCAGTCAAAATCAGTTACCTTTTACATTTACTGCTGAATAAACTACAAGAAGCACAGACAAATGGACAGTAAGACAGACAAATCATTTCCAAACCCTTCAGTTTAATTTTACCAGGGAATTCTGGTGACAGTGTTGTTCTCCTCCCTCCATATTTACTCAGCCATTCATAATTTCAAAACATATCAAGTGCAGGATGCTGATACCACACACGTCCTTTTGTTGCTGAAAGAGGCAGTGAGCTGAGCAGAAAACCCTAGTGAGTCTGCACACACATCTGGAGTGGCAGGTTCATGGCTGAATGGGTTTTAGAGAGAGCCCTGGCCTCTCAGACAAATCTGTGACCAGATAATAGAGAGTCACATACTTCTATTTTTTTAAGGCTCAGGGAAGTCTGACAAATTCATTTGCTCCAGCCAAAACTGCCCCCCTCATGTCTTGGTGCCTGTGATGATTAATTTTCTGTGTCAATTTGGCTAAACTATTGTACCCAGTTAGTATAGATGTTGCTGTGAAGGTATTTTGTAGATGTGATGAACGCTTGCCATCAGGTGACTTTACATAAAGCAGATTACGTTCTAGAATGTGGGTGGGTCTCATTCAGTCAGTTGAAGAGCAACAACCGAGGTTTCCCAGAGGAGAAGCAATTCTGCCTCAGACTGTAATATAGAAATCCCACCTGAGTTCCCAGCCTGCCTGCCTACTCTATGGATTTTGGATTCCATATTTCAAGTCTTAGCTGAACTTCCAGCCTGTGAGCCTGCCCTACAGATTTCACACTTGCCAGTCTCTGAGTGGTTCTGTGGTTCTGTTTCCCTGGAGAAGCCTGAAGTACCCCTCCCTCAACGACAGGTATCAAGTTCTCTTAGCTACCCAAACAGTGAGCCCCAGACCCATCCTCCTTCCATTCCTCAAATCAGGATTTCCATGCCCTGCTCCCTCTTCTTCATGGGGGATAGTCTCCAAAATACAAAATGAGTTCTCCATAGGGAGTTAACACAACTGGTGAGTAACTTTCTAGGGAGGAACTTAAAAAAAAATCTACTGAAATCTAACACTTTGGTATTTGTCTTGACAAAATCATAAAGCATTATGGTAAGTAAAAATGAGCCATTTTTTCTTTTAATATTCTACCACCATTGATCATTGTCAATTTCTACATTTGAATCAATCTGCAAATAACTTTGAATGCAAATGGAACACGTAGAACACAACATAATGTGTCAGCATTATCTAAGTGTTAAAATACGTATGTACATGACAAAGACAAACAGAAACAGAGATAAACACAAAACTGTTTTTTGAAAAAGAGCATCTATTCCATGTTTGGCAAATATATGGCCAAGATCTATGACTTCTCCCCATCCCCCACCCAAAGCAGACATCATTCATCAATCACCACACTCCACGCCTACAAATGGTCTCCCAAACCATCCTCATCTCTGCCTTAGCCACCTCCTGAACCTGACAGGGGGCCTGTTTGCCCTTCTGCTCTTGGTCCAACCTTCTAGGTTTACAGGTGACAAAACTGAAGCCCAGAAAGGGGGTAGATCTTACCTAAAATTGTATAGCTAGCTCACAGAAAAACTTGAATCTAAATCTCTTGAATTTTAATCATGACCTCTTTTTTAGGCATACAACAAAGTATAAAAATAATATCATCAACATCTGTGTACCCACCCCCAGAATATCATCAACATCTGTGTATCCACCACCCAGAATAATATCATCAACATTTGTGTGCCCACCCCCCAGAATATCATCAACATCTGCATACCCACAACCCAAAATAATATCATCAACATCTGTGTACCCACCACCCAGAATATCATCAACATCTGCATGCCCACCTCCCAGGATAATATCAACATCTGCATACCAACCTCCCAGAACATATCAACATCTGTGTGCCCACCACCCAGAATATCAACATCTGTGTGCCCAACCCCCAGAATAATATCAACATCTGCGTGCCCACACCCAAAATAATATCATCAATATCTGCGTGCCCACCTCCCAGGATAATATCAACATCTGCATACCAACCCCCCAGAACAATATCCTCAACATGTGTGTGCCCACCACCCAGAATATCATCAACATCTGTGTACCCACACCCAAAATATCATCAACATCTGCGTGCCCACCACCCAGTTGAAGAGGTTCAATTTGGTGTTTATAATTTCCATGCTGTTTTTGTACTTTTACGCCACGTAACTGTTTGCATAAACACTACGTAGAGGTTCTTTGCATGCTTTTAAACTCTGTAATTGCCAACATATTGTCTATATCTTTCTGAAATCTATCTTTCCTCTCAAAATTATATTTTTCAAAGTTATCCATCTCAGAAAGACATCCAGTTCTTGTGCTTTCATTTCAGTTGCTATATATACTTCCTATGCACTTGTTCTCCTGTTGATTCACATTTGATTATTTCTAATTTGTTGCTCTTGTAAATAATAGTACCAGGAACATTCCTATGTGAGTCCTCTGTGATGTATACCTAAGTGGTCCTGACCTCTTTACAGCATACCATATATTCTAAGGTAAGTGCCAGGGGGATGAGGAAGAGAGAAGAGGAGCATCATTCTCTCACCTCCTTGACTCTCCCTTCCCCAGGCTGGAAGGTACAAAGGGTAACTATATATAATTGCTTGGGGGGGAAAGATAATTAGTCTAATTTCTTTAATTTGACTTTTGGCCAAGATATTTACTTTATTTTGAATTTCAGATACCACTAAAAAAGGGTATGAGATCTTTCTGTTTATAAGGAGATATATTGTTTAAAAATGGTTGTGAGGGGCGCCTGGGTGGCTCAGTCGTTACGCGTCTGCCTTCTGCTCAGGTCATGATCCCAGGGTACTGGGATCGAGCCCCATGTCGGGCTCCCTGCTCCGCGGGAAGCCTGCTTCTCCTTCTCCCACTCCCCCTGCTTGTGTTCCTGTTCTTGCTATCTCTCTCTCTGTCAAATAAATAAATAAAATCTTTAAAAAAATAAAAATGGTTGTGATACCCTGTTAATCCAAAGAAATCACTCTATTAACAGTGTAATATTCAGACCACATGGGGGCCATAGGATGGGACAATTAGAATGGTTGCAAGCCTTTGAGCATTCCTCAGGTCCTCAGATAGACGGTTCTGCCTTCGTTACTCAGACTCTAATCTTTCTTTTTTTTTTTTTCCTAATCTCTTTTCTGACAATACTTTCTCTCTAGGACAGAGGCTACATATGGTCACTGATAAGCTCAATTAGCCTACGGACATATTTTATTTGCTTTGGTATCTGAAATACTTTCGGGCAACATTTAATAACTAAGACATTTTATATAAAAATCTGGATTTCCATCTTCTCTGACAGCTTTAGGCTAGTGCTAAATTGACAGGGAATATGCCCGCCAATTTGTCACCATTCCTGATCCAGTTATAGAATGTCCTTTCTACTCATTTCAGCACCTGCCTGGCCCTGTGGGCATCTGAGTTTACCACCTCTGCCCTCAAGCCTTTCACTGTGTCTTCCTCATGCTGAGCAGTTGAAGGAGACACTTATACAGAGACTAGAGCTCATGAAACTCAGACAAATGCTGAGGCTGCTCCCATGGAAACTCACCTGTAGACCAAATGGACCGATCTATAGGAACACATGAGTTTTGTTTCTCAAGAAACAGATGTTTCAATTAGGAGAGCCAACATTAATCTGAAGCTTTTCCGAGTCAAGAAAATCTCATTGCTGATTCAGAGAAACGCAGCATAACTGGACCTCAAGAATAGTCCAGGCCTGAGCTGCATCTGTTCCTTGGTTCTGTGCCCAGGGATGAGTACTGTGTTAAGAGGATGTATTTTCACGAGTGGCTCTCAGGGAGGTGGTGGGAGGTGGGAGGGTGCAGGGCCTAATTTCATTCCTTCCAGTCATATTGTGTGCTTATGAGTTGCCATGTGTGTATTAGCCAGATGCAGACCCTGGTATTGGAGGCTTTCTAGAGTTATTTTTACAGTTGTTGTCTCTGGAATTTTACATATATAGTCAGCAGAATTCTAAAATGACCAGTTATGAATATTTTGAGTAGCTGATAACAAAATTTAGAAATTTCTGTGAATTGCCTATAATTATGGTGAACTCATGAATTCATGTGTCACACATGATTCCTAGATTACAAAAAGAAAGGTGGCTTTCTCAAGAAAGCTAGAAATAACTCTTCGTGCACTATGACCCAGGGCTGTGGGTCCCCAAAACACCCTTTCTCCAGGGTCTAAGCTTTTCATCCAACCAGCCTGAATGATTTTAGCAACCCCAATTCTCCTGACCTCCACATCACATCTTTTTCTACAAATTCTAGCTCCAAGCGTGTCAGCCTCCTGAAGAGACTTCTGCTCCCTGAGCATTGCAACCTTGACCCACAGCCACCAGCAATGTACTTAGTAATTGTTGCAAAACCATGAGCTGTTGATTGCTTCACAGCTGAATATCTTGCCTTGCTGTTAAGTGTTAACCATGTTTCTAATTATGTGAGCCTAGATGTCCTGTGCAGGAGTACTTAGGAATAGAGACAGACCAAAGGCTATACAACGCTTCTGTGGTTGTCCAGCAGACACCTTTTTTTCTCCCAAGAAAGGTCAGAACAACATAAGCTTACAACGGCAGCTGGCTGAAATGCCACTCAACAGGAAGATTCTGTACAGGCTGAAACTATTCAGTTGCCCTTTGTGCATTCATAGAACAGGGGCTATTTCTTAATTCAAGCTGGGAGAGAAAAAGGTAAGAAAAATCATGACTACTCACAGCTTTGTCCACTTCCCTCCTTAAGGTGGTGTCAGATTTTTTTGTTGTGTCTGAAAAAGAGAAATCCCCAGTTATGGGATAAGATTAACGAGAAAAGTCTTCTGTTTCTAGACTAAAAGATGGCAGAACAAAAAGTTAATCCAATAAATCACATGTATAGAAGTCCAAATGTGCTCTGTGGCTTGAGACCTCAGGCTGAATGATAGAGTAAAACTGTACCCTTAGGTGAAAATTGCAAACAAAGCAGTCCTCTACTTTCCATTCCTTTCTCAGGCCCTGGTCCCAGGCACTCAAAGGCCAAGGGACTGCTGATTTGGGTATTCAGCCCAGGAAACGTCCAGCTTCAGAATTCTCTCTCCCTTTTCTGCTTTGCTCTTGACGGTCACTTCCCTCCTGTCTGCCCTACACAGAGCAAGAGGTCTCATCAATTAATTTACACTAGGATGTACATGACAGATACTTTTCAAAGCAACTTGGGGAGTAGAAGCACAAATTTACATAATAGGATGCTGCTCACCACTGTTCCCCCGATTTCATCTTTTTCAACCGCTAACGTCACATGTTCCCCCAATCTGATTTTCTTCCAGAGCTGCATGCTCATGTCCTACAGTTGCCTGGGTTTCTGAACTCAGTGCATCCCTAATTCTGCCTTTGCTCTGTCCACCAGATTTTTAGGAACTCCCTCATGACAATACTGACCTTGGCCTGGACTTTGAGGGCCTCCATCTAGCATTGCCATCTCCTCTAAGAGGATTCATATATGAAAGAAGCCTAAGAGTGAACCCATAGAAATTGCCCTTGCATGGCGGAGCTTCAGGGCAATCCTCTCTAATGCTTGGGGTTAGTGGTGCCATTCTGTGGTTCTTATGCAACCATTAGCCAACATATTTGGGCTTTGGTTTAAATCCCTGTAAAGTCTTGGCTCAGTCTTTTAAGGCAGTGCCATTCAAAGTGTAGAGTCCATGGGTTATTGGTGGTAGGTGACCTATTGCTTACCAGCCCCCGATGAGACACTTATAGAGATCTAGTGCAAACATTTAGAAACTCAGTTCTTTTGGGTGGAGACTCTCTCCTTCCATTGCCCAAAATAATACTTACTCAGATTGGGCCAATTTTTTCTTAAGCACTTTGGTAACAAAGTCACTTCCCATTTTACAGGTAGAAAAGAAAAAAACTTCTCAAAGAAGTTAGGTAATTCATACAAGATCACAGAGCCAATATATGGCAGCATAGGGTGCAGAACTAGCCTTCTGACCCTGGCTTGAAGCTCTATTCACAGTGTCAGCCATTCTCAACCCTCTTCCATGACACATGAGTCTGTGTGCATGGCAGATGCATTTCCACATGTGTGTCCGAGTGCCTCCCACAAAAGAAAGCAGATCCCAGTGCGTGTGAGTTGCGGAGTGGAGGTGGAGGGTGGGTATTATATAGGCAGCCATGATTTCACTCTGGCTCATTAAAAACAAAAAGGGAATCATTTGCAAATTTATTCACTTAACTCTCATTAGCAACAAGTGTCTCCCACCACAGTTGGTACCTGAGCCTTGCATCCGGCTTGGAACTACAGATATCGTCACTCACCTTGAGACTGGGATGAAGGATGAGGGAAAGAATTTTTTCTGCTCTACCTGTGAATGTGACCGCATTTCATTCTTCCAAAGAGAGTAGGGACAGAAAACTCTTGCTCATTTCTGAGGTGACTAAAGGGTTCTCAGGCCCCAGGCATGGAACTAGGTATAGATCTGTTTCTGAGGGGTATGTTTAGGGGAGGTAAAAGAAGATGGCAGAAGATAAGATTCTCATGAGGGGCACCTGCCATGGCTCTCTGAGGTCACAGACTTGCAGAAGTGATCCCGTTTAGTTAAAGTTCTATCAGATGCTGTAAGTCCTCCTTTATGGTAAGATGCCCTTCTTCTCCGTTTCTACCATTTCTCTCTCTCTTTTTTTTTGTTATGTTATGTTAATCACCATACAGTACATCATTGGTTTTTGATGTAGTGTTCCATGATTCATTGTTTGCGTATAACACCCAGTGCTCCATGCAGTACGTGCCCTCCTTAATACCCATCACTGGGCTAACCCATCCTCCCCACCCCCCTCCCCTCTAGAACCTTCAGTTTGTTTCCCGGAGTCCATAGTATCTCATGGTTCATCTCCCCCTCTGATTTCCAACCCCTTCATTTTTCCCTTACTTCCCCTAGCGTCCTCCATGCTATTCCTTATGTTCCACAAATAAGCGAAACCATATGATAATCGACTTCATTTCTCTCTTTTTCTTTTCCCCTTCTTCCTCTTTTCCTCCCTCCCTTCTTCACTTCTTCCTTCCTCCTCAACCCTCACCCTCCCTTACTGTTGACAATAATTCCTCGGATTTTATAGTAGAGGGTTTTGCGGTTAGCACCCAAGTTGATGCATACATAGGGCAATGGACAAACAGAGCATGATAATATCTTATGGCAGAAGAGAATACAGAAGTTAGACTGTAAATGTAGCATGACAACCCCCTAAAAGCCCCCCAATTCTCAAATAGTGGCCACCCCAAATTCCTAGTGAATTATTCCCACAGGTCATTTCTTTTCTATAGACAAGGCCACGTGTAGACTTTGGGAGGAGCTCATTGGGTGCTGACAAAGGAACAGTCTAGGAAAGCCCCAGACAGTCTGCAGATATTGTGGCCAGGGTTCAAAGTTTGCACAAGAGGAGTGGGTGGGTGACAACGGGGCCAGATGAGGAGGGACTCCCAGGAGCTGCTGAAAGACTTCAGGGCACCATCAAAACAGGTGCTCTCCCTGTCCCTAAATGGCCTCACACACTTTTCTCCTTTCCTTGCGGACCAGGTGATTCAGATTCCTGGGGCTGGGGGGAAGGCTCAGCCCAGCGAACACCCAGACTGGGGAGATGAGGGATGAGAACTGAAGGAATGCTCTGAGGCGACCTTGGTATCCCCTCACCCATGAACTCTGACCACATAGCCGTCTGCACTGCCAAAGTAACACTGATCTCATGAGGCTAATGACACTTCTTGGCTCAAAGAACAAAGCAAACTATTTTAGCACAGGAACAAAACATTCCTTTTAAAATACTCAGTATGAGGATTTCAGCTCACTGAAGACTAGAGCCATTTTCTTCTGGGGAAAAATCATCAGGACGAGCCCCCTGAGTCCAAAGCGATGCACAAGCCCTGAGGAGATTCATGTGAAACTGGGAAGGTGTAGGCCATTGGGGCAAAGCAGAGCCTCATACTGCAGACACCCAGTCCGTTTGGTTACCTTGAATAAAACTCACCTTTTCTAAAGGAAAGCTTTTGGAAGAGCTGTTTTCTTAAGCCTATCATTGTAGCTACGAATATCAAAGCAATGACGAAGGAAGGGATGAAAACATGAAGTGGCCGATTTGAAGAGGTGTCAAGTTCTTTGCCACCTGGATGAAAGAAAAGCACCAGAATCCCATTACATGGTAGCTTAGAGGTAAACCAACAAGTTGGCCATCTGAGTAGGTTACAACCAACACAGCTGACGTACAGCGAGCATTTATTCCATGCCAGGTACTGATCTATGTGTGCCGGATGTACTGGCTCGTTTACTTCCTACATCCACCCTATGTGGCAGGATTTGCAATGACCCTCATTTCCCTGGTGAAGAAAATGAGGTGCAGAGAGTCTAGGAAACTTTCCCAAAGTTACACAGTAAGAGACAGAGCTAAGATATAATCTAGGCTGTCTGGTTCCAGATTCTGTGTTTTTCATCATTCTGATACATCTATCTATCTGTCTGTCTGTCTATTACCATCATCATCATCATTTTTCTTTCTAGTAGGTTAGTCCCTCAATTCAAACATGTCCTCTCCCTCTACTGTCAAGCGCTCGCAGTGCTCAGAATCTATGCCAATAGTCGTTCAATTTCAAGGATTAACAGGATCGTTTTGGAAAAACACAATATTGTAGATAGTGTTAACATACAAAATCCAGTCATTCATACCTTAGTATGAATTACTATGATGAGCCCTTTCCTTGGCTCAGCTAATCAGTGTTCTGGCACTGAGGAAAAGGTGAGTTTAGTAGAGATGTGGATGAGAGGAGCAATTTTGGAGACAGGGGAAGGCCTTGTAGAGGAGAGCTCTGGGTATCTATAGGTTAGAATAAGGGCTCCAGACTGACAATGGGGAGGGCTGGAGGGGGCTTCATAATAGGAGGTAGAAGAGTACCCAAAGTAAACTGTGCCCTTTCCAAAAGCCTGAATTTGCCCCATGGAGTAACTTATACAGAATAAACACAAGAGCCTGGTCCAGGAAAAACCTGGCAAAACTGCTCGGGAGGAAGGGCTCGGTCCTGCCAACTGCCTTCCCTCCCCCCATCTCAATGCCGTCTGAGAATCATAGATCGTTTTAGCTGAGAAGAAATCAGACATCATTTAATCTGCGCCCCTCATTTTAGAGTTCAGGAAGTAAGGCTCAGGGATGCTAAATAATCTATCTGAGGTTATCACTGCTAAAGAAGGGACAGAGCCAGGATTGCAAGCCTGGATCTGTTTGATCCAAACCTCAGGCCCCACGGATATTTGTCTCTATTGAAAACAGTGTGGTGAACAGCAAGGAAGAAAGGATTCAGAAGCCTGGCTCATCTACACATTGGATAACCCACACCAACTACAACTGCTCCTTTACTTTTAGGAAGTGCTTATTAAGCACCACTGCAGTAGCACTGTGAGTCAAGGAGCCCTGGGATCTTCAGTGTCCTCACAACAGGAGAAATCCCTACCTTAACACCTCTGTGCAAACCTGTTGTGTCCTTTGCAGGTTACCTTCATAGCTCCTTCCATGTACAGAAGCTCTACTCACCCCTGAAGACTTTCTAACAATGAACACTGGTCTGTTTAGCCTGTAAGTATTTGGAGTGCAAAGACTTCACCTAAGTCACCTCAAAATCCCCTATAGAGCCAAGTACCATCTACATTAAAGATGTCAATGAGGATTTGGGGGGCTTAATTAATCGTCTGTGTACCTAGTCTACCTGGCCCGATCCTCCCTGTCCTTAGTTACCTTGTGGCAGACTGATGCTTATTCCTTAAATCCATTTTCCCTTTCTTCCCTATGAGGGCATTAGCTGGACACATGGCTTCTTAAGACTACATTTTGGAGCCTCCCCTGTGGTTAGGTGTGACCAACCATGAAAACTAAGTTCAAGTCATGGGTCTTCTGAGTCTTGGCCTTAAGACATTGGATATGTCTTCCACCACTCTTTTCCCTTTCTGAAACATGGATGTAGTAGTCATCCAGCTTTGACAATTCAACAGAGACAACATTCTACAGAATGGGGGAGCAACAAGATGGAAAGAACCCAGAAAGAACAGAATATAGATATTTCCCTGCTCTGAATCACCTTCTATCTCTGAATATTACATAAGAGAAAAATATGCTTCTGTCTTGTTGGAGTCGTATTTTGAGGTCTCTCTGTTATGGCAGCTTAGTCTATATCCTTATATTCTTACAGATTGTTTTATAATAATTAGATGTTACTTAACAATGATATGATGATGCAATGGGAAAACCATGTTTTATCCTTGCCACAGTCCCATGCACTCCTGCTAGAGGCATGATATTTTTCCCCATTTCCATGCTTTATGAGTGCTGAGGACTTTGCAAGCATGTTTCGTTCAGTCCCCACAATCATGCTCTAACGTATCTATCATTATTTACCCTTATTCTACAAATGTGAGACCAAGTTCTAGGATGTCTCAGTTATATGTTCATGTTCTCAAAGCTAGTAGTAGTAGAGAGAGGATTTAAAGATCAAGTCAGGGTTGCCTTGATGGTTAAGCGTCTGCCTTCGGCTCAGGTCATGATCCCAGGGTCCTGGGATCGAGCCCCACATCGGGCTCCCTGCTTGGCGGGGAGCCTGCTTCTCCCTCTCCCTCTACTGTTCCTCCTACTTGTGCTCTCTCACTCTCTCTGTCAAATAAATAAATAAAATCTTAAAAAAAACTATTAAAGATCAAGTCAGTTTGACTTCACAGCCCATGCTCTTGACCACTGTCAGAGAGTCCCCTCCAGGTCTCTTGGGCGGGCTTCACTTCCCACCCCACAAGAATGTTGTTAGAGTTATCTCCTGTCTCCAATTTCATTACATTTCTTCATGAAAATGCAACAACTGGCCAAGAACAAGAACCCTGTTTCAAAAAGAAAATGGTCTCATTGACCTTTCGTTTCTGGTTAAAAGTTAGGATGTTCAGTCACATCCTAGAGCCACTGGAGCACCTCCCACCACCAGACTCCCACTGCTGTATTTGCTTTATTCACTGACTTCTGGAGAAGATTGTGGTGGGTCAGAGAAGTCAGTAAGGAGCAGGTCAACTGATGAGAATGAGTAGAAAGGAGACAGTCATAAAGTAACTTAAAAATCCCTTTGAGAAATAGAAGTGAGGAACCGTGGGAGGATGTGTGACTTTGGTCTCTTGTTGCTGGAATTTGGACTACAAACTAGGGGATCATTTGATTGCTGAGACCTGGCTGCCCATACAGTCTGGCAGCTGGGATAATGGAACTGGGATTATCAAGACTAATCCTCCAACCCACTAATCTGTCATTTACTGAGCACTTAGTATGGGGCAGACTGCTCTGTTTTTGCTTTAGTCTGGGTATAAAGAAGACCCATGTGAACAATTCAAATACATGGAAAATAAAACAGCAATGAAAGATAAAAGACATGTATAGTCACAGGCAAACAAAGTCATGGTGCATGTAATCAGTCTTAGGAGGAGAGATAAGGTAAAGACCTCTTGTGCCCTGGAGTTATCTAAGCTGCTCTGGAGAGAGGGTGGTCTTGAAGATGGTGAAGAGGGTGATTGTATCTTATGTGGGAGAAACTGCCTGAACAAAGAAATCATGGAGGTGAGAGATGTGCAAGCAAGTTCAGAGAGCACGCGGTGAGGAAGGGGAGCTGACTGGAGCCCAGGAACCCTGCCAGGGGGTAGTAGCATGGATATAACTCTAAGAATCTTGTTAGAAATGAAGCCATTAGAAACACCTCATTTTTAGGGTCAACTTTGAGTAAAAACAGTGAATTAGGCAAGTTGGGCTTCCAACATTCTCCGTTTCTCTTTTTATCACAGTGAAGATCCGCAGACTTGTCATTTTATGAAAACTGAGCTATAACTAACTCATAGAACTTTAGAGGAATTTAAATGCTAACAATCACAGGGGAATTTATTTTTCTCGGAATTGCTTACTTAACTGTCCTTTGCTGTGTGGAATCTCCTGCCTGGTTAAGTGCAAGCCAGTACTTTGGATGGAATGTGGTTTTCCAGAAGGGTCAGGGAAATAGGGGCCTGGGTAAGATGAATTTAGAAATAACTAGTATCTAGGCTTTGCCCTACTGATTACATCAGTACTTTTTTCTTTGTGGTAGAGAAGTGGAAGGGCACACTGACCATTCCTCTGGAAACCTTGAACTAGTGAAAAGTTACAAATGAAGTCATGTGGCCCTTCTTTCCATGGAAGCCAATGTAGCTGAATACATAGTCAACAGTCATGGGAGAGGCCTGTGGGGTCTGCATCAGTTCAGGATCTTCTAGGATATCACTCATAAATGCAACTGGCAAAGAGATAAAGAGATCTTTGTGCACTTAGAGATTTTTCAGCCTAGATTTACCCATCCTTCCCAGAGTTGTATCCATGCTACTAGCCCCTGACATGGTTCCTGGGCTTCAGTCAGCTCCCCTTTCTCACCACGTGATTATCTGATTTGTGTGACTTCCATGCTCAGTAATAACAATGAAAAGGTAATTGTGACAACTCAGTCTGTTCAGGGCAAGAAGGCTCAGTTCTCTCAGGCCTGAGAGTCAGAGTCACCAAGTCTCCTCCCCAAACCCCAGGGAAGCAAACTGTTCCATCTGCAGTGTTGAGTGAGGGAAATCTAGGATGTACAGTGGATGAGAGAGATCTCAATTATCAGTTATGGCTTGGGATCGACTGTAGCAGCAGGAACTGTAGCTTGTTCTATGAACTCTTGCACATGAAATCTTCTGAAGAGATCATGGCTGCTTCCCAGCCTGAAGGCTTAGTCACAGTGAACTTAATGTAAGGTTGTAGGTGAGCTTGAGCAGTGCAAGGGACAGACCACTGCAGTCTTGCCTCACTGCCTCTCGGGTTCACCTCTAACTTCAGCCACGGCTTGGTAGAAGTCTAGGTGGACTTCATTCACCTCAAATGGCTACTTTGCTTTCTGCCCTGGGATGACTCTGACACTGCAGACGCTGGGGGTGGGGGGGGTCTCACTCAGCCCACATGCATGCATAGCTCACAGGGGGATGGAGTGTACACTTCTGGACACTACTGTCAATCTATACGGGTGAAACCACCTGACGTGCTTTGAGTGAGCATCTGAGGAGGTCATCTGTACACTTCCCAGGTGGTTCTTGGGTATTTGAGCTCTTGTTTTGCCAACAGCAACAACTTTGATAATGTACCCTTATATTTACTTTTCCTTCTTCCCTGTCTGAATCTCCTAAACCTCTCCCTTCTGCTCCCTGAGGTCACCACCTAAATACTTACATGCTACACAAGCTCCTATCATAGGCTCTGTTTTGTCTAACTAAGACAAAGGGCAAAAAGTGTAATACAATGACAACACAGTAAATTTTCTATAAAGTCAAATTTAAGCAGTACTTGGGACTGTCCTTTATTCAGAGATTATATCCTTTGCTGGTATGTAGCAGAATACCGACTCCCCTCAAAGACGTTCATGTTTGAATCCCTGAAACCTGTGAATGTGTTACCCCACATGGGAAAAGGGATTTTGCTAATGTGATTCTATTCAGGACCGTGAAATGGGAAAATGAACCTGAATTATTGGGTTGGGGGAAGGAATGGAATGTAATTACAGGGGTCCTTACAAGGTGGAAGAGGGAGGCAGGAGAATTAAATAAAGATGTGATGACACAGAAGCAGAGGTCTGAGGGATGTAGCTGCTGTTTCTGCAGGTGGAAGAAGGGACCATGAGCCAAGGAATGCAGGTGGTCTATAAAAGCTGGAAAAAATGAGAAAAGGAACTCTCCCTTAGAGCTACTGCCATCCTATCAACAATTTGAACCCAGCAAAGCCCCTTTTCTGACTTTCAGAAGCGTAAGCTAATAAATTCATGTTGTCTTAAGCCCACAAAGTTTGCAGTAATTTGTTATAGGAGCACTAGGAAACATACGATGTGCTTGGTGATAAAATGACCTGTCTCTTATGAAAGATTTTTGATACTAGATGTTAGTTGCTCTTATTTGGCAAATAAATGTTCTTATTTGGCAAATAAAAAAAAAATTGCCCTGGTGTATGAAGTTCTAAAGGTGGGACTCAGCATAATCAGGAAAGACTCCGAAAGGTTTTACAAAAGGCCAGTTTTCCTCGGAAACCCCATAACCACTTGACTATCAGCAAAGCCAGCAAAGTAATATTCATCCTGCTGACTCCTTGCACTGCACCTGAGTCAGAAGGATTAGCTTTTGTGCTGGATATTTTCTGTTTCCTGTTCAGATCCATTCTCTACACCTCCACACTGTGCTCTGAGAGGTTGACCTTTATGGAACACATCAGTGGACTCCCTTGTTCTCTGACTTCCAGGTGGCTTCAGCCAATAGGAGGCACCAGCAGGAGATTGGAGGGTGGGAGGAGGAGGAGCTTAGGGAGTTCATTTATCCAGCTTCCATCAGAGTTGCTGCAGATGGCAGCATCCCTCTACTGGAGGCCCCCACTCCTGTCAAGGGGCAAGTTCCCTACAGCTCCCTTTCCCAGGATTCAGTAACCACTCCAATGGTGGTAATTGTTCCTCTGACCGTCGAAGCCCCAGGGTCCTGCAATAGCTTTACTAGCTTCTCTAAATCCTGACCACACCTTCATATATAGATCTTTTATCACTCTATCCTCACTCCGAGTGTGCCATCTATTTCCTGCCTAAACCCTGACTGATGGAGTTAGGAAGGCGGGGGGGGGGGCCCACTCTTACCATGAGGGTCAATGACGGCTGAAGTAAGTTCTCTCACGTTAGCATTCCAGAACACACAGCTGACGTTCGTGCCAGGGTGTGGCTTTAGGCGCAGAACACTAGTGACCTGGTAGAGGGCTTGTGAGGTCTTGATGTGGCTGGTGTTGGCAGGAACACTGATGTTTGGCCAGGTCACTTCTGCCAGTGGATAACCTTCTGCCTGGCAGGTGAGCTCTACCTCATCTACCCCCGGGATCCTAAGTAAATGAGTTTTTATTTTCTTGTAGGAAGCTGGATAATACAAGAAGAAAAAGAAATAAGTCTTTCTTTTCTGGTTCCTAGACGGCTTTGTGCTAAATGCCATGTGAATACAATTATCATTATCAATATGAAGTAATAATGGTTTTAATTTTTTACACATTTCTTTTGTCTCAGGTATCACACTATTTACACTGAATGATTTAATTCTTATAACAAAAAAGGCATTGTTGATATTCCCAATTTTTGTTGGAGTAACTGAAGTGAGATTGAGTATTTTGCCTAGAGTCACAGGGCTAACAACTGGGAGAGCCAATGTTTGCACATTGGAAGTTTGATTCCAAATCTCAACAACATTTTATCCCACCACACTCTGTGGCTTCCTGTATGATTGTAAACTATCTCACAGCTGAGGACTGGAGACAAGAGAGGAGACTGGAGACTAGATCACCCCCACATTCTTGTTTTATTTGGTGCTTCTCCTACAGGAGAAAATTCTTTTCCCACTTCCCCCTCTCCTTTCTTCTCTGTGAGATTAGGAGGAGAAAAAATAAAGACCCAGATTCTGTCTATAAGTAGTCAAGAATTGGCTGTATCTACTCCTTGCTTCTCCTGTCCAAAATACACACACACACACACACACACACCCTTTTGTGTAGTATATGCCAAGTGAATTAATCAAATGTGGCTCCCTGCCCTCTAGAAAACTGAGATCTAAAATGAATACAAGTGACATTGAAAATAGGAAGACACAAGGACAAATTGCCCAATTATCTTAGATGATAGCCCAAAATAGATATTAACAACATATGCAGATATCAGGGAGTATGGAAAGTAACCTGTTGATTTTCGGTGAAGGGAAGAGGAAATGAGTACTAGCTTTCAATAGGTAGGAAATATTTAAGAAACAGAATTTTGATACAAACTTTGATTGCATACATGGCACAGGGGTGGTGAAACTATTTTTTTCTTAAATTGTTGGGAGGAGTATAAATAGGCACACCCTTTGTGAAAAGCGATTTTACATTAAAATCATGATAACAGACATGTGGAAAACATCAAATGTGTACAAGGTACTAAGGGTTTTCTCGGTGCTAAGCTTCGTGCCCTGTGATTTTACATACTGTGGAGGGGAAAGGAATGTTCAGAACCCTCTCCACAATTTTTGCCCCTTGAGCACCTCCCTTTGTGTCGCTGTGTTTTGAGTTGCTAACTTGATTAGTTATAGCCAAAGATGCTCACTGGATCACGGTTCACTGGACTGGGTGACTGCGTCTTGAAGCACAGTTCACAATCCGCGGCCCTCTCTTAAGTTCTTGCCTCCGTGTGGTAAAGCATACTCGGCTGCGCGTCCTGACCGGCCTGCCTCAAAAAACTCACATCTTCCTTGCTCATGGTTTTCCACCTTCTGCTTGTGACTGGGTGGGTGGGGTAAACTTTCTTACCCATGAAGCTGGATAGATGAGTAACTTCAAGGTCTGTTCTGCAAACCTGAACTCTAAGTTAAGATGAGGGTGCAAGAAGAAAGAGGCCCTTATTCTAAGTCATGTTCTCCACTGTAAACCACCAGGGAAGCCCTGAAGTTGGGAGAAGGGAAAGGAGAAAATCATGTGCTCATCCGGTTATTAATTTAAAAAATGGAGTTCACTTCCCATTTGGCTACTGATTCTTGTGTGTATAGCTCACTTGGTCAAGGACTTGGAGAGGAACAGGGATGATAGTGGCTCTAAAACCTGATTCTATCTCTTTAACATGTATCACCTCATTCAAACTCTTCAAGGACCCTAGGAGGTAGGCAAAATTCATATTCCTATTTTATAAATAAGGAAACAGCTGGAATCTGGGGTGGGGAGGGGGACTTGAACCCATGCCCTTCGTGCCTACATTATTCTGAATTCTGTACTGGAATCATCATAAGAGGATGATTGTCTATGTAATTGCAAAAAGTTTGGGGATGGAGCCACAGACACAGACAGGGCGGGGACTTAGAGGCACACAGAAATCGGAGAAGATGAGGAGAATCAGGTTTTGAAGCAGCCTAGTGAGACCTGAACTGGTTGGACTTATCAGTCTCCTTGAAGCCAATTTTGATCTACCTCTAGCAATGCAACAGGATCTCCGAAGCATGCATTTTGAGGACTCACTAATCTCTTTTTATGTTATTTATCTATACTTATTTTCCCTTGGTTTGATGTCCTCTTATGATCATTTATCCTATTACAGTGTAGATTATTTCTGTAAGCTCTGGGGTCTTTGGGGGGAGGGGATGGAGGAGAACAAATAGATGCATAAGAGCAATGTGTGGCATATGAAGGTCTGGCCCATTCCTGCAGGGTAGCTCAGAACAAGAAGCTGATCTTGGGGGCCAAGTTGAGAGGTGATTTCAGAGGTAGGAGGGCCAAGAATCAGAAGGGAGGCTGAGGCTGTAACCTGGGATATATAAATGAGGGAGAAGATGAGAGAGATGTTCAGCGAAAAGAACCAGCAAGGCTGGGGGGAAGGGATGGGAGCTCATAGCTTGCATGCATGCGATATTGAAGATGCCTCCACAGCCTTGTGCAATTTGGGAAGTTGGTGAAAAGGCATCATTATTAGCCACACACAATGGGGAAGCTGGACCAAGGGGGATATTCTTAGGAAGAGATGAGTAAATTTTAGAATTTCAGAGCTAAAAGTGATCTTACAATTCAAACTAGTCCAACTTCCTACTCTGCAGTTGCTGAGTGTAAGTTTTACATGAGTCAGTTAGGCCAAGATGGCTGTGTTTACACAAGTCTTCTATTTTCTTTTTTGTTTACTTGACCTGTTAGAATAGAGATGAGTTGAAATCTCCAAATAGGATTGTGGATCTATTTCTCCTTTTAGGTCTGTCAGTTTTTGTTTTATATGTTTTGAAGTTATGTTGTTAGATGTACACACATTTAGGACTCATGCCTCCCAGTCATATTGACTTCTTTATCATGATGAAATGTCCCTTATCTTTAATAATACTTCTTTTCTGATATTGGTAAGCTGCTAGATAACTATTGGCTAAGTACATCTATAAATGGAAGCTCCTACTGCCAGGAGGAGCCATCACCATGATTAGACAATTAGAAAGTTAAACTTTTACTGGAAAGATCATCCTTCTGCCAAGTCAAACTTTGCCTCTTGGCAGCTTCAACCCATTGGTAATTGTCTGGTTTAGTAAGACAACATATGAGCAGCATAGTAGTTAAGAATGTGGTTTGATTAGGCTTGAGCCAAGGGCTGGTTACATGACCTTTAAAGCCCTCGAGTTTCTCCCTTTTATAAACAGGTAGGATAATACTTATCCTTAACAGACATGTTAGGATGATTGAATGAGTTAGGTGCCTAGAACATAGTGAAAATTCAATTATTATTAGCTGTTGCATATGATCCTTTGGGTATTTGAAAATAATTGGCAAGACTCCATATAGTCTTTCCGTTCTGGGGTAAAACATGCCTCCTTCCTTCAACCATATCTCACAGAACAGTTTTTAGACCCAGTGCCACATACCAGTCTTTGGATTCACTATGTTTGCCAATGTAACATGACCTATATTCCAGATTTAACCTAAGCAGCACGAAGCACAGTGTGACTAATTACTTCCTATGTGTTGAGCACATTTTAGGCCCACGTGGGGTTTTAATGCAGCCTAAGGTCATAAGATTAATTTTATTAACGAATGATCTGGGTGCAGCTGGGATGGCTATAACAGTCCAGTGGGCACCTGGAGACCATCTCCTGGTTGACCCAAGATCATCCATCACCCTTTGTTAGCCCTGAGTCAACACCTATTAGTTGTTGAGTCTGTTACAGTTCTAGTCAACTACACTACTATTCATCTCACATTTTACCAGTTTATGCACAAGATGTGTGCTGTGTGGATCCTGGGCCTATCTGCTCTCAGATCCATCCCTCAAGTGTTCTTCTCTGCTCTGTACCGTGTGAAGGCTGACTCCGGCAGGCCGTGTCTCCCAGGCTCTTGCCAGCCCACGGGAGACCCGGTGGGAAGTCTGGAGGGCAAACAGGAGGGAGAAGTTAGGGTATTTCCCCCCTACGCTCTATGCTGCAACGGCCTCTCCAGCAGCACCCCCAGCTCTTCCTTGCTCCTGCTTGCCACTGGATGGGCCCGTTGTGGTTCCAGTATCTGCCCCGTGACTCCAGCCCCCAAGCTCCATTAACCCTGCCTTCTTCCTCTCCCTCCAGTCCAGTGCAGACAGCACCTTCTTGTTATTGCTAATTGCTGATTTGCCTCCCTGTTCCCCACCCCCCATTAGTTACTCAGTCTGCTCTATTAAAAGAATTTCTATTTTTGGATTTAAATTTCTGCTGCTTTGAATGGTTTGTCTCCCTGCTCGTCTCTGACAATAGGATCCCTACACGACTGGCACCTCTAGCATCCCTGAAATAGAGATAATCTCCAAGTAGTATTAGCTGCTTATCATCGTAATGATGACAACGAAGGTGAAAAAACGTAGTTTCACACGCCTTGGTCTTACAGAACGTAGGCGGGTTTCTAGGAATCGCTGAAGGAAATCTTTGAGGCTTGCTCCCAATTCATCTGTTAGATGACCTGGGGAGGAACCTCACTCAGGTTACACAGTTCGTACACCCCAGGATCTCTGGCCCACTGAGGAATTCAGAATATTATTGTGTTAACTGCAGCTTTCCTTATTATCCTTCTGTTTCTCTGGAGGAGGAAAGGGAGTGGTTTAGCCCCATCAGTAAGTGCTTTAAGCCGATACGCTCTCTAGGTCCAGAGGCCGACTGTCCCTTATCCTTTTTTTTTTTTTTAAAGATTTTATTTATTTATTTGAGAGAGAGAGAATGAGAGATAGAGAGCACGAGAGGGAAGAGGGTCAGAGGGAGAAGCAGACTCCCCGCTGAGCAGGGAGCCCGATGCGGGACTCGATCCCAAGACTCCAGGATCATGACCTGAGCCGAAGGCAGTTGCCCAACCAACTGAGCCACCCAGGTGCCCTGTCCCTTATCCTTTCAAGGCTGCACTGCTTTCCTTGGGCCGTTTCCTCTCCAGGTCCTTTGTCTTTCCCTCCTCAGGGTAAAGGCCACTGTGAGAGAACATGGAAGCCTTGTTGCCTCCTTCCTCCACTTGCTCAAGTCAAACTCCCATCTAGCCTGGGCCTTTTCGTGGGTTTGAAATACTTCCGTGAGCCTCGGTCCATTCTGGGGGTTGGTGCTCTCCCATTGCCCTCCTCATGTCCTGCCAGGGCCTCGGGGTGGGTTTGGCCCTTCCGTTCTCAGGACTTGTGCTGTGTCTGTCTGGGCTCCTCGGCTCAGTCCAGTTCTCGGCCTGTGGGCTTAAGCCCTGGGCTCTCTGGCCTCTTGGGGTCACGGTGCCACGGACCCTGCTCTCCCTCAGACAGGCTACCCATCCTAGCTGCCTGTCAGAAACACAGGTTTCTGACTCTCTAGCCCTTCTACTTAGTACTGTTTTTCCTGGGCTTTTAAAAAATTAGTTCTCTTGGGGCGCCTGGGTGGCTCAGGCGTTGGGTGTCTGCCTTCGGCTCAGGTCATGATCCCAGAATCCTGGGATCGAGCCCCGCATCGGGCTCCCTGATCGGCAGGAAGCCTGCTCCTCCCTCTCCCACTCCCCCTGCTTGTGTTCCCTCTCTCGCTGTGTCTCTCTCCGTCAAATAAATAAAATCTTAAAAAAAAAAAAAATTTAAAAAAATAAAAAATTAGTTCTCTTTTCACTGTATTTAATATCAACCGTTGCCCAGATATCAAAGAAAGTACTATAAACCTGTTTTCAAGTTTAGGCCATAGATCAGGCATTTTAAGGAAAAAGCATGTACTTCTTCCAGTCCTGTTTCACTGAAGCAAACCCTAACTGAGGCACCAGATCTCCCCTGATCAGGGTAGAATACTCTTAGGTGATGGTCTTCAGCTTTTCCTGTTTTTGCTTGCATTCCTCCTAAAAGGCTGTGACACAGTATGCACCCTCTCACACATTTATTAGGTAGGTTCTTAAAATTTTTCCTTAGTATCTGTATTGGAAAAATATATAATGTTTAGCATTTTACAAACATATTTTAAGTAAAACAATGGTTTCACTCTTACATACGTACCTAATGCTGTCTAGATATCAAAGGAAGTATCTTTTATACACACCACGGTCCATGGAAAAATACATATAAAAATCATCCTATAGGGGCACCTGGGGGGCTCAGTTGCTAAACGTCTGCCTTCGGCTCAGGTCATGATCTCGGGATCCTGGGATCGAGCCCTGCATCGAGCTCCCTGCTCAGCGGGGAGTCGGCTTCTTGCTCTCACTCTCCCTCTGTGTTCTCTCCCTCTCCCAAATAAATAAAATCTTTGAGAAAAATCTTCCTGTAATGGTCAGAGCTTTACACTCTTTTTCACATTGTTTCATTCCGTGACCCTCAGTTCACATTCCACTTTTCCTATAGGATTTTATCCTAACTCAGCATGTTAGAAAGCTCCTGTATTGGTGATCCTTATGTTTCTTTGCAACAACAAAATATGTACAGCAATTGAGATTAATTTTTTTTTACTTGTGATCACAAGGCTTCAAGTGTTTGGTTTCCTTCTGCATTGAAATCTAATTTCTATTATCAACACATGTAAAATAAAAATGGAAAATATTATGAATATTGATAATGATTAAACATAAAAGATAAAGTTTTCTGGCAATGTATCCCGTAAGAGGATGGATGGGGCTCTTTTTTTATTTGTTCATGTATCCAAGATACAGATGGCTGTGGTTGGGATGAGACAAGATCAGCCTCAGCTCTATTTCAATTTTTCCATTTTTATGGCAGGAAAGGTGAAGGAAACTTACTTATATGAACAAGTAAGTGGGTATGGAAGCAGTTTTGTTATAGAGATGTCATTTTATGCTTAAAAGCCTTATGATTTATACGGCAAAAAAACCAAAAAACAAACCCAACAACCCTACTTCAGTTTTTACTATGAGCTCTTAACTGTATTAGGGCCTCCTCCAGCTTTGTTGAAAACAGAATTTGGTATCACCTGTTTTGCAGAAGGTTTGTTAGTCATTACAGTTTGATAAGGGATATTTCCAATCAGGCTTTTGTTTAGCAGGATGTAGTTTTTCTACACCCCGAGGCAACGCAGCACATTGGTGAGAGGTACACTTTCTATGAAGTGGAAGAAGGTGATGATAAAAAAGGAAGCGTTCTAGGGGAACCCCAAGAGCCTTGCCTGGAAGGCTAATTCTCAGGCACACTCAGTTTGGGGAAAGAATACGTGGGAAGATGAAGAACTAGAAACTCATTTCCTAAAACTGCCTGTGCCTCTGCAAACCCTCAGAAAGTCCTGTGCTCCCCATATACCGTAGTTTGAAAAGCAGCAAGGATTTCAAGAAAAATAAGATTTAAGGAATAAACCTGTCCCACACCTGAGCCATCTCTGCTCTAGGTGATGAGCTGGCAACGTAGCTTCCCAGGAACAAGAGGCAGCCCTCAGCTGGAGGGAAAGAGTGGAAGAACTGGCCTCGAATTGCCCAGAGACCCTACATGCATTACAGCATTCAGAGGTTAACAAACTCGGAGGCAGTGAGTTAGGGGTGTAGACACTGAATACATCAGGGGATCATGAGAATGTAAAGCCCGCTTTCCTCCCATTAATTGAAATCAGACGAACTTCAAAGTTCTGGAGTTTGCTGCCAAGGTCAATGGTCTTTAGGGACCAAAGCCTATGGACTTTCCAGAAGACAGGACAGATCATCTGAGGCTTACTGGGTGAGACTGGGAGGAGACAGAGAAAACCCAGAACAGTCAACGTGGGCTGAAGGGCACAAGCTGGTGAACAGAGCCGAGCCTGTTCTGTACATGTTAGAGGGCTTTCCCAAAATGGCCTTTTCCAAAACAAACACAAACTTGAAGATTCTCTTCAGACTTAGGTTCTTGGCTTGTGTTGTGGTGAGGAGAGCCCTAACCTAGAGGAATGGGGACAGCTATGTACCTGACTGGGCTTCCCAAATCCACCCCCCTTCACTTCTCTGGACGTCAGCTGCTTCATTTGCAGTCAAATGCTCTACCACTGAGCTATACCCCCATCAGCTGCTTCATTTGCAATACGTGAAGCTTGGACTAGAGCAGTGTTTTCCAGACTTTTTAGACTATGTCCCAGAGTGAGAAAAAATATTTTACATCACAATCTAACACACACACACACACACACCCCTCCGAAACAAGAGTTTCACAAAAGGACGCTCAGCCCTCCTGTGTTGCCTTCCGATCTATTCATTTTATTTGGAGAAAGACACTCACCTGGTTGCTACTCACTATGATGCTTTAACCATGAACGGCCAGCAAACCACGGTTTAAAAAACTCTGGATTAGAGGAATAAGCTTCTCTTAAAGGGGAGCTTAGTGATCAAGTCAGTGTTGTTCCTTGGGGGAACTGTGAGCCAGGCAAAGCTTATCTTTGGCACCCTCCTGGCTTTCAGGGACCCCCTTCCTGCCTTCCCTCTAGACCCACGTTATCCCTGCAACTCCTACCCTTACTACCTTCACCTCAGCTGCTTTATACTCAGATGTTAAAAACTATTTCTGGGCAGGTGCTTCTGTTTTCTCTAAGATAGCCCCGTCTCCCTGTAACCACCCTCCCAGTTTTGGCTTGTGCTAATGCCTCCACAGATTCCAGTCTTTGGAACGACTCACCTTTGACTTTCAGAGTCAGGTACTTGTAGTCCCAGGCGACCTTGTAGATGATCAGGCAGCGGTACTGGCCTGCGTCTGTCACTTGGACTCGAGGGATGTGGAATAAGGCCTTCCCCAGGGGCAGCTTCTCCTCCAGCAAGCTGGCTCTTTCGCTCTGCAAGGATGTATCGTTTTCCATCTTCTGCAAACTGGCCTTTAAGTATCTGAGTTCCACGTGACCTCCAGTGTCAAAGTGACACTCCAGGGTCACATTGCTGCCATAGTCTACTGTGTACAGTTCCTTAGGGATCGTCACTGTAAATAAAGCTGAACAAAAAAACAAGACGTTCTCCCATTGTCTGCCTTCACATCTCACTTCTGTACAGAGTAGGGGCTGAGGAGGCCCATCCCAGCCCCGTGTCCCAGGAGACCCCTGTCATGAACTGGGCCGTCCTTCAGGCTCCTTTCTCTCCTCTGCCCTGTACTATCTGGCCAAGAGTGGAAATCTTGATCCACTGTTTTGAGGTACTTCTCTCCTCTCAACACGCCCCATCTGTGCAGCTGATTGCTGTCTTATAACCCAGGGCCATTCTCTCCATATGGATCAAATTATACCCTCCCTGCCAAATACGACCTCCTCTCGTGACTGGGAGTAATAATAACTATCATTTGTTGAGTCTTACTATGTGTTCGTCCTCTACCAACACACAATCTCGTTTAGTTTTCCCAGAAAGCCAGCAAAGTAGAGAGCCATCCTCTTTTTAGAAAATGAAACCAAGGCACAGGAAAGTAGCCAGGATCAGACCCAGGGATTGCTAAGCTCCAAGGGCCCTTAAACACCGAGTCACACGAGCCCACTGGACAAGCTTCTTCTTTTCTGTCAATAAGGAGAAAGGAAGAATAGAACTAATATTTAGTGTATACCTACTATGCACCAGGCACCGTGCTAGGCTCTTTATAACTACATCACTTAATCCTGAAAATACAACCATGAAATATGTATTATTATTATTACTGTTTTACAGTTGAGGAAACTGGCTCAAAGAGGTTCACACCAGGACATACAGTTAGTAAAGTTAAAATTCGGAGCCAGAGTTTGGGGCACCCAGGTGGCTCAGTTGTTAAGCGTCTGCCTTCGGCTCAGGTCATGATCCCAGGGTCCTGGGATCAAGCCCCACATCGGGCTCCATGCTCAGCGGGGAGTCTGCTTCTTCCTCTCCCACTCCCCCTGCTTGTGTTCCCTCTCTCGCTGTGTCTCTCTCTGTCAAATAAATAAAGAAAATCTTTAAAAAAAAATTCAGAGCCAGTTAGATGTTTGGCTTAAAATTCTAAAGTTTCCACTGCAACAATATTTCCCAAAATATGAGGCACACATGAAGCATGCAAGATAATTTTTTAAAAGATTTTATTTATTTATTTGAGAGAGAGAGAGAGTGAGAGAGAGAGAGTGAGAGAGAGAGAAAGAGAGAGAGCCCAAGAGGGGGTAAGGTCAGAGGGAGAAGCAGACTCCCTGCTCAGCAGGGAGCCCAATGTGGCACTCGATCCCGGGACTCCGGGATCATGACCTGAGCCGAAGGCAGTCGCTTAACCAACTGAGCCACCAGGCGCCCGCAAGATAATTTTATTTAGGGTAGAATTAAGGCCTAAAGGGAACTGAATTATTCAGGGAGGAATTTACGTCCTCTTCGATTCTGTTTCAACCCTTCAAGTAACATATAATTTGCAACTAGACTCTCACACCTCCAACAATGGCTATTTCTCCTTTTAGTAAAACAGAAAGCTCCCAGGCAGATACTGTAAATATCTGGGTAGAATTTCATAACACTACTTTCATCACATTTATTTTTTGCTTATATCCTCTATTTACCAGTAACAGTGGTACTGGTTTTCCATTTACCACAGGGGTATACCATTTTGCTCAAAGAATAAAAGCTGAGTTGGTTTTAAAGAATTCTATAAAAACAATGGCATGAAGAGTGGTAAAGCAAAGTCAAACTAACCAAGGTAGTGTATGCGTGAATACATTGTGGGAAACTACAAGATTATGCCGCCTCCATCATGAATGAAAGGGTATTCATTATATGGAGGTGTGGCAAGACCTTAAAGTAACTTCTGAATCATGACAAAAGATTAGATCAAATTATACTCAGGAGAGCTTGCTTCATTCATTCATTTAGTTAGTCAAGACATCCATTCAATAAATACTTGCAGAGGCTTCTAAACATATGCTTTTCAAGAAGTTTTTACCCTTATAAAAAGTGGTACATTAAGAGTATGGGGTTTAGTGACAGATCGACTGGATCGAGATTATGAGCCCTTTGATCTTGACTGTGTCATTTAGCTCTGTGAGCCTCTGCTTTATCTATAAAGGTGCAAGGTTAATATCTGCCTCAAAGTATTGTGGTGAAAATTAGACAAAATGGCACATGTGAAGTGCCTTATTTTGGCAGGGGATAGGCGGTCAGCAAACATTGGTTCCTTTCTTTCGTACCCTGTTACAATTCTTGGGCAAGTGGTAATTCGTATATGCAACACAGGGCCATTCCTTATTTACCATGATATTTTATTAACCAGAACAGCCCATTCCCTGACCATCCTGGGTAAGAGATTTTTTTTAAAAAGATTTTATTTATTTGAGAGAGAGAGTGAGCACGTGCATCGCACATGCACAAAGTGGGGAGGGGCAGAGGGAGAAGCAGGCTCCCTGCTAAGCAGGGAGCAGGATGACATGGGGCTTGATCCTAAGACCCCAGGGATCATGACCTGAGCCGAAGGCAGATGCTTCACTGACTGAGCCACCCAGGTGCCCCCTGGGCAATAGATCCTAAAGTATAAATAAATTTTGGGTTTACGTGGCTTAAATGATTCACATGGCAATTCTCTTCTGACCCGAGTTTCTCCTCCTATAATCCTGCAAGACTTTGAAGGCAGTGCCCAGACTGAGTATGTTTCGGTATCTTCCCTTCCAGTTAAGGGTGTGGCAAATGGCAGCAAGAGGGAGAAATAAGGATGAGCCTAACCCTACTCACTTCTGTTTTCCTCTCATCAAACTGCAACTTGCCCGTGTTGCACAAACTGGCTGGAGTTCTTCATCATCACACAGCACACTTGACAGTTATGCCCCAACTTGAGATTTATCGAGAACAATTGGGCAAGTTTACGTTTTGCCTGCAACCCCTGTTTTCACCATCACTAGAACATTGATGTGCCTTTCTAAAAGATCTATGGGACAGGAGAGAGTTCACATCTGCCCTGCATGCTTTTGTGCAGGCTGGGGTGGGGGCAGGTCTAGAACATGACTGCTTCTCGGTAAAACGCTGCTGATCACACCCACATTTGCTTGGACAGGCTGAGAAGACTGTGGGATGTCCCATGTGGAGAGATTCGTGCTTCCGAATGTCCTGCACGATTCCATTTCATGAAATCCACTTGTAGTAACTCTCCCCCTGGCTCTCCCTAACAGGACCCTCTTAAAGGTAGATCCCTTTCTGATGGGGATCATCTCCAAATTTTGAGTTATTAAGTCCCCTTTTAACCAAGACAGAGCTACTTGCTATCCAGGCCACTCTGGTCTGAAGAGGAATATTCACTTACTCATTGATCAAATACTTAAGTAACCATTTTCTACCAGGTTCAGGAATTCATTGTTACTCTCCTATTTTTTTTTTTTTTTTATTACACATGATACAGCAGGAAGCAGGGAAGAGAAATGGGATTTGCAAGGAGGTGCAGTTGCTGAGTCTGAGATATAACCGTCAGAGGACTTTGGGAGTTGCCTCTATTGAATCTAGTTAGCAAATTTTTTACCGCACTCAGGCTTTTTTCTCATGAGAGAGAGAACGTCTGTAACTTCCTCTGGAACTCCCCACAGCGGACAGCAGAACTCCCCTCTTTACACTCTGGGCCTTTAACAAAAATCCATTTTCTGCTTGCTTCTTCTCTCCTGAAGAGTGCATATACAGGGGTTGTAGGCATAAAGTGTGTTACCTATTTTTCAGCTAATGTTTATAAGAGGAAAGAGCGATTAGCAAACCTGAATCAAATATCTGAGTAGCTCAGAATAACTAGAAGATTAATTGTTATTTGGTGTAATTTTGCCTCAATTAAAGCTTCTAAGGCAAAGCTGTGAGCTTGATTACCCCATAAATTCTCAGGAAATGCACTATACTTTTAAGATCCTAAATTATTCTTACTTATGGTAAATTACAGAGGCAAAAAAACACTCTTGCAAACAGCTGCATGAAGATATTTTTCTCAAGCCTGTATGCACATCAGAGTCACCAAGCAGAGTGCCTCAACTTTGGCCACCACTGGAATCACTTGGGAGGCTTTTTAAAAAAATACTAGGCCCCACCTTGGATCCTTTAAATATGAATTCAAATTCATTTGTGAGGCCAGCATCAGTTTTTTTTTTTTTAATTTCCTTGGAAGCTTCTAATGCGCAGAGTATTGAAAACCATTGGTTAGATAGGCAAAACACCTGTGCAGGCAAACATCTTTTATTATCCTACCTTTCAAAGTGTCCTCAGCTTCACCTGGGAGCAAGTGAGAGCTATTGAATCTCAGGCTCGGTCTCAGACTTAGGGAAGCACACTCCACATTTTAACAAAGTTGAGGTGGTTCATGTGCACATTACTGTCTGAGAAGAAGACTTATAACATGAGCCTGCACTTGGGCTGTTACTGGGAAGCAGAGTAATCATCAACATTTATTAAACACAGTGAGCCAGACACTGGGCTAATCTTCACATCATCATCTCATTTGATGTTCCCCAAACTCCACAAGGTAGGAGTCACCATGGCGAAACTTAGGCTTCCAGAAGTGATACAGCTTGTCCAAGGTCAAAGAGTGGTAGCTCATGGAGTTGGAATTCCAGTTCATAGCTCTGTGTCTTGAAAGCCTGTACTAACAACTCTACAGATATGACCATATGTCCCCTGGCATGTATATATTACATCCATGAAGGAGATAGATACACTTCTCAGCTTTATGCTAAAGAAAATACATTTAGGGCGTGTGTGTGTGTGTGTGTGTGTTTCTGGGTTATTCCGTTTGAGCTCTGTGTCTGTTTTTATGCCAATACCATACCGTTTTAATGACTATACCTTTGTAATACAGCTTGAAATCAGGGGTTATTACATTAAGCTTCAACCCAGCACTGAAGTCCTGAAGTTATGAGACAAAGGAGAAAATTGGAAAGTTTCCACAACTACAGAATTAAGCAGACAAAAACAAAGCAAAGCAGGTTTTCCCGTTCCTTTTGGCCCCCCCTGACTAAATTAAAGGGTAACACATTTGGCCAGGGCATGAAAAATTCACACATGCAGTTTCTTTAAACAGATGAAAGCAGCGGGCTTCAGTAATGCTGGAGCCTTTTTGAAAGTTCTTAGGGAAATTGTGTATTTTATTTGCAATCAGGCATCAGTAGGAGTCAGCACCTGTCATGTCTCCAGAAACACAAAACAAATCATTTGCATTACCTCCTAAGATAGCTTCCTCTTTAAGCTAATTTTATACTTTTTTTTCCATTTGATAACAGAAGCTGAAGTTTTTTTCAGACTCCGTACTTAATGAACTTGAAAGGTGGGGGTTGCTTTACAAAACCACAGTCTTCAGAAAACTCTAGTTCCTAGTTTAGGATTGAAGCCTGCTCTGGGCACCTGACTCATCTGCTCCTCTTTGCAGGAATACTGCACGGGGACATCTCATCTCTTAGAAATCCTTTCCACAGCCTGATTCTTCTGCTTTGTATACCTCAGGGGTCTGAAGAAGTAGTTTTAGAGCCTGAAGATAGGTTAAGGGGAGTGACCCAGGGTGTGGTCCCCACCCCAGAGTGACCTCAAGCATCGCCATGGTCATGTGACCCCCTGGTTTTTAATCCCTCTCTGGAGGATGAAGAAAGAAGGAAAAAAATCTATAAAAGGAATAATAATTGGGGTTACTTTTCCTCCAAGACATGACAAAGTACAGAAATGAATATTTCCCCTTAAATGTATCTGGGTTACAAGATGTCCTTAGGTTTTGAAATAAAAATATAAGAAAAAAAAGAATTACAAAATTACAGAAATCAGAAGAGTGTGCTATAAGGGAAAGCATATACACAAAGAACAGACTGCAGAATGCAGTTCAGAAATAGACCCACACAAATATGGCCAACTGATGTTTGACAAAGGTGCAAGGGCAACTCAATGAGGAAAGGATAGTCTTTTCAACAAATGGGGCTGAAGAAACTGGACCTCCAATCACAAAAAAGAAAAAGAATTACCTTCAACCTATACTTTATATCTTCCATGACAATTAACTCAAGATGGATTATAAACCTAAATGTAAAATGTACAACTAGAAAGTATTTAGAAGAAAACCATAGGAGAAAATCTTTGAGAGTTTGGGTTAGGCAGAGTTCTTAGACATGATGCCGAAAACACAGTCCATGTAAGAAAAAAAAAAAAGATCAACTGAATTCCACCAAATTTAAAATCTTGGCTGTGCAAAAGACACTGTTAAAAGACTGAAAAGATGAGCCACAGACTGAGAGAAAATATTTGCTTATCACACATCTGATAAAAGACTTGCATCTGGAATATACAAAGAATTCTAAAAACTTAGTAAGAAAATGAACAAACCAATTAAAAATGGTCAAAAAGTTTGATGCAAACTTGTCCAAAGAAGACATATGGATGTCCAATTGCCATGTGAAAATATGCTTATCATCACTAGATACTAGGAAAGTGCAAATTAAGCCACAAAGAGATACTTCTACACACCTATTAGAATGACTTTAAAAAACACGACGTCAGTGCTGCCAAGAATGTGGAAAAACTGGAGTGCTCATACTTTGCTGCCGGGAATGCAAACATAGTCTAGCCACTATGGAAAGGTTTAGTGGTTCCTTATAAAGTTAAATATATACTTACCACATGACCCAGCAATCCTACTCCTAGGTATTTACCCAAGTGAAATGAAAACCTATGTTCTCAAAAAAATCTATACATAAGCCATTTATAGCATATGTCATATCAAGCATACAACTTGATTTGTAATTGCCAAAAACAGGAAACAACCCAAAAGTCCCCCAACTGGGGAATGAATAAGCAAAATCTGGTAAATATATACAGTGGACTTCTACTCAGCAACAGAAAGGAATAAACTGCTGGTACATATAAAAACATGGATAAATCTCAATTGCATTATGCTAAGTGAAAGAAGCCAGACAAAACACATCTCTAGGTATCTAGCGGATAATCCCATTTATATGATAATCCAGAAAATTTAAAACTATAGGATAGAAAATAGATCAGTGGGTTCCTGGGTTTAAGAGTTAGGGAGGGTTTTTTGTTTGTTTGCTTAGCAAGTGGTGGAATTGTTCTGGATCTTGATTGTAGTGGTGGTTATATGGTCATGTTTGCCAAAAACTCATAGATGTTTCTATTAAAAAGACTGAATGTTACTGTATGTCAGTCTGAAAATAAACAAATGTTTAAAAAATGAAATGAAAATGTTTTCTGCCAAATTTTCTTTTCAAACTTTAAGCTGTTTTATAGATAACAGAATAGAGCCCCCACAGACATACAAGTAAGGAAAGAGTTCCTGATGAATGGTTTATGTGGGTCATACTCAGAGTCAGTCTTCATCACAGTCTTTAGGAAACACATATTTTTTCAAACATTAATCCAGCAAGAAACAACTGTTTTTTAAATAACTGTAATTTCTCTCAGTAAAGGAATGGTTAAATAAATTACAACACGTCCAATAAAATATATAGAGCCACTTTAAAATGAGTGATATCTGTATTTGCTGATTTGGAAACTATAAAGAACATACCTTGCTGAGTGCTTACTAAGATTTCTTTTAGTGATATTTAGGAACATTTTTTAATGGAGAAATGGGTAGATAGTACAATGTTATTGGGAGGGGGTTATGTAGGACTGGGGCAGGGGAAGGGTTTCGGGGAAGGCTGGTACAGTTCTACTACTTGACAAGGGTGACAGTTACAAGTGTTCCCCTTATGGTAACATGATGCTTTACCCTTGTTTCATGTGGTTTTCTGTACCTGTGGTATCTTTTACAACACAAAAGTTTAAATACAGAAAACTTTTAAAGGATATCGAATCAAATAAAATGAACTCCTGAGAATCCATCACCTACCCCAAGAACCAGAACATTACTAATGACATACATCTACTTCCTCCACCAAAGGTAATCAGCATCCTGAATATTGTGTTTATTAATCTCTGGCTTATTTTTTAGCTCTATCATATAGATATATATTGCTTATATCATATTATTATGATATGCATATCACATGCGTTATATGCATATATTATACATATATATAGGTATATTGCAATACATAAGCAATATATATAGGTATATGTATACGTATATATTGTTTATAAAAAGGACACTGTGTTGTATGTTGTCTTCTATGTTTGATTTTTTGTTTTTTTAATCAATATTATGCTACTAAGACTCTTAAATGTAGTTGCCTATTTTTGTAATTAATTTATTTACACGCTATATATTTTTCCATTCTGCTAATATACCACAATTTATGCATTATCCTGTCGATGGGCATTTGGTTGTTTTGGGGTTTTTTTTGGAAGGACTAACAATGCTGCTGAGAGCATTCTTTTTAAAATATAAAAATAGAAATTTACATAGGGTAATAAAGAATTATTTTGATTCAATTCATGTTCTCTGTTTTTCCTTCTCAAAGAGAGTGCAAGTTTAGGGGTGAACAAACACAGTGAGGGGAATGAGGCCATCAGTGTGGCCATCCTGAGAGTCGTGGCTATTCTCGGGCACCGGATGCTACAGCCCGATGCCTTCAAACGCTTTTTAAAGCATTCTTTTTAAAAGAATTCTTATATTTTAATTCTTATATTTTAAAATTTATATTTTTATCATACAAGTAAAACTTGTGTATTTCTTTTAATAGACAAGCAAGGGTATAATACTTCTTTCAATATACAAGTAAATGCATACTTCTTGTTAAAAAAAAAAACAAAAAAACACCTGCGGGGCGCCTGGGTGGCTCAGCCGTTAAGCGTCTGCCTTCGGCTCAGGTCATGATCCCGGGGTCCTGGGATCGAGCCCCGCATCGGGCTCCTGGCTCCGTGGGAAGCCTGCTTCTCCCTCTCCCACTCCCCCTGCTTGTGTTCCCTCTCTCGCTGGGTCTCTATCAAATAAATAAATAAAATCTTAAAAAAAAAAACACCTGGGAAACCTAATAGTTAAGATTATCCTTTTTAATTCTCATCCCGGATGCTTCCCCTCTCCAGAAGTAAGCATTCTTATCAGTCCTTAGATCCTTTTGTTACTTTTTTCCCCTCAGGTAGCCTCTATGAGAAACCTCTGAAGTTAAAACTCCTTAATTAGGGAGACATGAAATGATAAGACTTACAAAAAAAAAAAAAATACCCCTGAGGAGAAGGCAGTCCAATTTAGGCAGGTAATTAATATTTATTTGAACTGATACTATCTGTATAATGTAAAGTAGGAAGCAGAGAAGAATTCCAAATTTGAGGAGAAAGCAAGAGACAACATGTTTATACTTTCCTTTTGGTTAATTCTTAAACATAATTCATCATACATACTTTTCGGTTTTGTGAACGTCCGGTATCAACATTCAATATAGGTCAATAATCAAACTTAATTCCAAAATCCCATTCCAAAGTGGGAAGGTTAGGGGTTGTCTGCCATGCTTGATTATCATCATCACCGTAGCATGGTAAGGTAGAGAGGACAGTAGGTGTGTTCCAGCTTGCCTGTGCCGCCTAGTGACTGAGTAATCTGGGGTAAATTAAATAACTTTTCTGAATTCCAGTTTCCTCATCTGCCAGATGGTTATTGTTTCTGTAAGACAGGGACATGGGCAAGCACGGGCCACCCTGGGCACCATTCTTTTTCCTGGTCATGTAACAGAGTGTAATCCCACTTCCTCTCAAAGAAAGCCTTCAGCCTGAGGACCCCCATTCTCATCATTGGCTTCCGCCAGGGGCAACTGCTTACTCCTTTCTCAGACCCCCTCCCTTTTTTTCTTACCTGCTGTCTGATGAAGCTGCATTCCCAGGCTCATGATTAACGGAAGGAGGAACATGGTCTGTACCCGATCTGAAATAGACAATTGAAAGTCTCAGAGCCTCCTGCAGTTTTGCTGGGTCTCGTGATTTGGTGATTTGCTCATTCCTGTAAATGGGGAAATGACCCATAAACAAGCCCCTGGAGAGAAGATAAAACTTCTCTTCCAAGAGCTCCGCTGTACAGCGGAGTTAAGAGTTAGAAGTTAAAAGTTGATTGCCTGGAGGAGAAGGGAGACAAGGTAAGAGGAAGCAAGGTGTTCTTTATCAATCCAAATTAGAGGCTCTTTGTCCTTTTCTGACTATGAACCAGTTCTCATGAATCACCCACACTGGTGATTATCTGAGCCCCTTTGTCTCTTCTATGAAGCTTCCCATAGTTTTTTCAGTAGTGGGTCCTTGAAAATCAAATGATTGTCAAATGGATAATGCACACCAACTTCTTCAGGTGGACTTGAACTCTGGGAGTCAGATAGTCAAGGACAGCACTCAGTAGAACAGAGCTAGATTCTCAATAAACACTCGTTTTTGCCTGAGCAGGAAAGTGTCAAGTTCTTTTGAGTGTTGTGATGGAGTTTGCCCATTATTTGAACTACCTGATACTAAGAAGTTTAGACAGAGAGAGCACAAAACTGGCTACACTGAGTGGGTGCCCAACCTTGGTCCTGCTCCACCTCCTACGCTTCTACCTTTGTTCTCAGGCTTTCTTGAATCCAAGGACTTCTCGTGGTTGAGGCGAAAGGGATCTGGATCAGGTGAATGACATGATCTCATTACATTTTCAAAAGGGGACTCAGCTTTGGTGTAGACAATAGACTCTTGGGAAGGACAGTGGGTTGGACAAGATTAGCAGCAGGATGACCAGTGAGGAATGTTTTCACAGACATGATAGTTTGGATTGAGTGATGGTGCTGGTAGAGGTGAGAAGTGGTGTGAAGGAAGGTATATATTATATACAAATATATATTTGTTCCTTAAATTTATTTTTTCCAGCAGCCTTATTGAAGTATAATTGACATACAATAAAGAATTTGTGTGTGTGAATGTGTGTGTATATACATATATACTTAAAAGACAATTCAGTGGTACAATTCAGTGGTTTTCAGTATATTCACAGAATTGTGAAATCCACACCACTAATTTTGGATCATTTTCATTACCCCAAAAAGGAACCCACTACCCATGGACAGAAACTTCCCAATTCCCCTTCCCTCTCCTTCCAACCTCTGGCAACCACCAATATACTTTCTGTCTCTATTGTCTGGCTTGTTCTCGATATTTCACAAAAATGGAATCATACACCGTGTGGCCTTTTGAATCTAGCTTCTTTCACTGAGCTTAATATTTTCAAGATTCATTTATGTTGTAGCACATATCAGTACTTCATTCCTTTTCATGATTGAATAATATTTCCTTGTATGAATATACCACATCTTGTTTATCCATTCATCAGTTGATGGACATTTAGGTTGTTTCTACTTGTTGGCTTTTAGAATAATGCTGCTATGGACATTCATGTACAAATTTTTGTGTAGACATGTTTTCAATTCTCTTGGATATATAGCAGTGGAATTTCTTGGTTAAATGGTAACTCTATGTTTAACTTTCTGAGAAACTGCCAAAGTATTTATCAAATATATAATGTGCAAATACTTCCTCTCATTCTGCAAATTCTTTTCAGTTTCTTGATAGTGTTCTTAGAAGCACAAATATTTTAATTTTAAAACATAAATTAATTTAATTCTGATGAAGCCAAATTTATTTTCTCTTTTATTGCTTATGCTTTAGGTGTCATATCTAAGAAACCATTGCCAAATCCAAGGTCACAAAGATTTTTTTTTTTTTTAAAGATTTATTTATTTATTTGAGAGAGCGAGAATGAGAGAGAGAGAGTACATGAGGCGGGGGAGGGTCAGAGGGAGAAGCAGGCTCCTCGCTGAGCAGGGAGCCCGATGCGGGACTCGATCCTGGGACTCCGGGATCATGACCTGAGCCGAAGGCAGTCGCTTAACCAACTGAGCCACCCAGGCGCCCCAAGGTCACAAAGATTTATGTCTATGTTTTCTTCTGAGTATTTTATAGCTTTAGTTCTTATATTTAGGTCTCTGATCCATTTTGAGGGCTTTTTAAATAATAGTAATTGTTCTTTTATAGCCTAAATCATCATAATTTTGGCCACCGGAAGTCCCTTCAAGGTAACCTCTGTTTCCTTTTCACACAATCCTATTAATCTTGGGAAGTTTGTTTGCTTTCTGTACAAATTGCCTGAAGCCAATTTCATGTCTCTGCTGCCCAAGCATGCAATTAGACTTTCTCTGAGAAGTCCTTTCTTTTCAATTTTTTTTAAAACTAGAAATAAAATAAAACCAGTTTACCCATTTCTCCCACCCCCTAAATCTCTACCTCTGGCAACCACCAGTCTGTTCCCTGTATCTATGAGCTTGGTTTGTTTGTTTGCTTGTTTGTTTTAGATTCCACATGTAAGTGAAGCCATACAGTATTCATCTTTCTCTGACTTACTTTGCTTAGTATAGTAATGCCCTTGAGGTCCATCCATGTTTTTGCAAATGGCAAAATTTCATTCTTTTTTTGGCTGAGTAATATTCCATCACACACACACACACACACACACACAGGTTGATTCATATCTTGGCTATTGTAAATAATACTGCAACAATACTGCAATGAACACGGGGTGTGTATATCCTTTTGAGTTAGCATTTTCATTTTCTTCAGATAAATACCCAGAAGTGGAATTGTTGGATCATATGGTAGTTTTATTTTTTATTTATCATTTTTTAAGGAACCTCCACAGTGTTTTCCATAGTGGCTATACCAACTTAGAATCCCACCAATGTGCACAGGGTTTTCCTTTTCTCCACATCCTCACCAATGCTTGTTATTTCTTGTCTTTTTGATACTAGTCATTCTAACAAGTGTGAGGTGATATCTCATGGTGGTTTTGATTTGCATTTCCCTTATGATTACTGATGTTGAGCATCTTTTCATGTACCTGTTGGTTATTTGTATGTCTTTTTTTGAAAAATATCTATTCAGATCCTCTATCCACTTTTATTTTGACTGTGTGTGTGTGTTACTATTGAGGTGTATGAGTTCTTAAGACATTTTGGATAGTAACCCTTTATCAGATATATGATTTGCAAATATTTTCTCCCATTCAGTAGGTTGACTTAATTTTATTGATGATTTCCTTTGCTGTGCAGAAGCTTTTTAGTTTGATACAGTCCCAACTTTTAATTTTTGCTTTTGTTGTTTTTGTTTTTGGTGTCAGATTAAAAAATCATCACCAAGTCCAATGTCAAGGAGCTTATCGCCTAGGTTTTCTTCTAGGACTTTTTTGGTTTCAGGTCTTATATTCAAGTCTTTAATCCATTTTGAATTAATTTCTGTGCATGGTGTAAGAGAGCAGTCCAGTTTCATTCTTTTGTGTGTGACTGTCCAATATTTCCAATGCTATTTATTGAGGACTTTGGAATATATTCCTCAGTTTCTTCATTTTGCCTGACTCTCTCTTTCTATACAGTAGATGAAACAACTACTTCTCCCAGTCTTGAAGAATTGGTCTTATATAGGAGATGAAATTTGATGTTCAACCCTGCCTCAGCTCTTAGTTGTCTTGGAAACCTTTGTGTTTATCCAAGCATCCAATTCTATTTTTAATAGCTCCCAGTAGTGGAGGATGTGCCAAGATCTGTCAGTAGCCCAAAGGGGAGGATCTTAGCCCCTAGATTCAAGTTGGTTGAATGTCAGATCCTTAGGCAGCAGCTTGTGAAAGTATGAAAATAATAACAGTCCTGTGGGCTGGAAGTGTAAGTCCTATTGGCCACCAAGGCCAGGCAATCTGGAGGTGTTCTCTGGGTGGCAGTCACAAAAATCTGGGCTCCAGATGACTATATAAGCTTTCTTCTGGATCATACTGGTGAGCGGAAGCAAGGCAGAGGGAGAGCACCAAGATGGTGTCCACAGCCTATGTTCCTTGAGAGCAGCTGTGTAGGCCACTAAATGTGTGCAAGACCTTAAGACTGCCCCTCAGGCTGAAGCTCTAAGGAGAAGCAAAGAGGCTCCCCTCACACCGAGACTGGGGTGTGTACATCAGTGTGCTGCCTATTCAGTGCCTATTCAGGCAAGAGCCCGCCAAGAGACATCTTTGATTCTCACAGTTCCCTGGAAAGGAGTAATTCAAGGCCCTGGCCAACAGAGGCAGGTGATGTCGGGGTGGGGAGTCACCTGGGCAGCTCCTGCAAAAACCAGTACACCAGACACCTTGAAGGCTCCCTGCCAGGAAACACTGGTGCTCTGGAGTGAGTCAGAGGGTGAGTATGCAAAGAGCACCAGCTTTCCAAGGTCTCTGGAAAGAATTACACCAGCCCCTAGACGTGTGTTCATTAGAAGCCTGCCCCTCAGGCTGCAGCCATGTAGATCAGCTAATAGGCTTCCTTCACAGAATGACTGATCTGCAGGGTCTGTGGCTATTCTGGCTCCCTTACATTTCCATATGAATTTTAGGATCAGCTTGTCCATTAACACACAAAAAAAGGCAGCTAGAATCTTGATAGGAGTTACACTGAATCTGTAGATCCATTGGGGAAATTAGCTGTGATATTAAGTCTTCCAAATATGAACACAGCTTGTCTTTCCATTTACTTAGGTCTTCTATCTTTTCTTTTTTTTAAATTTTATTTTATTATGTTATGTTAGTCACCATACAATACATCATTAGTTTTTGATGTGGTGATCCACAATCCATTGTTTTCGTATAACACCCAGCGCTCCCTGCAGTACGTGCCTCCTTAATGCCCATCACTGGGCTAACCCACCCCCCATCCCCTTCCCCTCTAAAACCCTGTTTGTTTCTCAGAGTCCATAGTCTTTCATGGTTCATCTCTCCCTCCGATTTCCCCCCCTTCAGTTTTCCCTTCCTTCTCCTAATGTCCTCCATGCTATTCCTTATGTTCCACAAATAAGTGAGACCATGTGATAATTGACCTTCTCTGTTTGA